TATTGAGATAATGCATGCAAAGGGGCACAATACCTGGTGCAACACTCAATAAATGTGAACTACTATTATTTATGCAACTATTTAGCATGAGCAAAAACCCTATATATTAATTTAGTGGACAATCTATGAGTGGATCTGTTCCTTTCTTAAAAATAAATTTCATGCTGGGGGGGGGTTCAATCCAATGTTCTTTGTGCTAGAGCCAACACCTGAAAGCACTTCTGGAAATGAAAATCCCCATGATTAAGCATGCATGTTAAAACATAATAACACAGGCCCTCCCTGGTGGCGCAGCGGGTTAAAGCACTACACTGAGAAGCTAAGGACACTTCCGCATGAGTTCGATTCCCGCCTGCCCCGGAGGTGACCACATGGCGTGGCAGACCTCTCCTGACCCTCCCGCTGCTCCCCTCAGCAGTGTACTTCGTCGATCTGCCTGTTCTGTTCCCCACTCTGTCTCTGGTGAAGCTTCTCGCCGCCCCTGAGCCTCTGGCCTGTACCTCAGTTCTGCATGTACAAATAAATAAAACTTTAAAAAAAAAAACATAATAACACAACATAAAATAGGTATATTCGAAGAACTTGTTAGGAAACACAAATTCCAATCTCATTACTGATAAATTCATAACAAAAAGCTCCATTGAGAAACAAAATAGAATGTGTAATCTAAGACAGATCTTCAAATTGTATCAGTCGATAGAGCTGAGTTAGATCACATTATTTTGCTGCCACCAGAACTGTTTTCACTGAATTACGTTCTGATGACATACCATCAACCTAGACAATGAGGAATTTACTAAAATAAAAAATAAGGCACATGTTGTATTTACTTAAAGATGTAGTTGAGGAATTTCTCCAATAAAAGGACTGTTAAAGTACTTCTTTTGGAAATACAAAAGAAAAAATTGGTCTTTTATCTCAGGGTCACTGAACTATGTAGCTGATTATATCTCTCTCTGAGCTGGCTACTAAAAGTAGTCAAATTTGTGGCCTTCTTACAAATACATTAGTCCAACTACTTTGTGTACTGATCTCATTCCTGTTTTCATCTTAATATTTCTCCTTCAGTCTTGAAATTATCACTGCCTTATTTCTGTATGTTACCAAGAGTATGTTGTACATATCTTTGTAAGTCATTATGAACCCTTTCTGGAGTAAGATGTAACATAAGTATATGGCATTCTCCACTTCCACAACACCACAGCACAGTAAGAAGACATTTTCCTTTCATTGATAAACATTTCATGAGTGCAGTTTCTAAAGTCATGAACTTTTTATGTGCTCTAAGAAGGGAAAACAGTGCTTTAACAAGTAGTATGTCTAAAATAAGGAAAATCTAACAAAAAAGGAATTACAAAAATAAAACGCTTTCACTATATATTAACTTTGCAGCACATAGAAAAATGTAAATCTACCCCTATGTAAAAATCCCCCAAAAGTCATTTTTAATTTTAAAATACAGGCAGAATCACCATAAATGATTAAAACGGGTATTCTGAATGGAAGCTGAATAAGTCAGCTTCAAAACTGACTCTTTAGATTTTTGTACAACTCCTTCTGAGTTAGTTACCCTGTGCCTAACATAAAGGATGCTACCAACAATTCATTAAAATGAGACAGCACAGAATTTAGAGCCCCAAAGCCTCGTGCTACTTTCTGCTTCAACAATTTCAGCAATCTCTTCTCTGTCATTTAAGAAAAATAAAAGCTTTAAGACTCTCTCAGTGTACAAAATTGTACCTGCTCATGAATTCATGCGTAGCATTCTGATCATAACTTCTGGCTTTTAACTACTTATTCATCTAATTAAGACAATCACAGTTCTTCACTCTTCCAGTAACTATAAAAAAGCTATACTATCAGAGAATGGAAACATGTTGTCCTATACAATAATGAGTACATTTCCTACCCTATGGGTGGTAACTTCATCAAAAATTGTACAGAGAACTTGAAAAGAACACAATAAGGCCCTCCCTGGTGGCACAGCGGGTTAAAGCACTGCACTGAGAAGCTAAAGCCACTTCCACATGAGTTCGATTCCCGCCTGCCCCAGAGGTGACCACATGGCGTGGCAGACCTCTCCTGGCCAGCCCGCTGCTCCCCTCAGCAGTGTACTTCATCGATCTGCCTGTTCTGTTCCCCACTCTGTCTCTGGTGAAGCCTCTCACCCCCCCGAGCCTCTGGCCTGTACCCCAGTTCTGTATGTACAAATAAATAAATCTTTAAGAAAAAAAAAAGAAAGAAAAGAACACCATAAGGTACAGCTTTTTCTTAAAATATTTTAGGAGCTATATCTAGAGATCAAATAGATAAAATATGATCTCATAACATTAAGATAGAGATTAGTTAACTGTTGTGTCTGTTTACTTATCATGCCTATATTATTTTAAGGCATTTCTGCCTTATGAAATAACATACATGATGCTTTGACTGTGCTTTATAATAAAAGTGATCATTTAAATGAGACGTTCAAAATAAGATCTTTAATGTGAAACTAGTGTTTTTATTGTGATAATTTTACTCATGGATTAAAAAGCTACGCAAGGGAGATGCAATGGTCTATGCCAAAGGATTACAGGTGCTTGGATGGTGGGGATAAAGGTGGTAACATACATCTAGTGAGGGGTGAACCTATTCACCTAAATCATATACAGTGTTGTAAACTAATGTTTACCTCAATAAAGAGGGGCAGAAAAAGAAGCCATTTAATAGCATTTCCATTCTCAGTCACAGAATGGACAGGAGCTGTGTCATATAGATTACCTCCTACATTTTAGGGGTGGGTTTACTTTTACAATCAATAAAAACAAACGAGCCAAAAATTAAATTCACACTGTTAAGTGTGAAATTCCAGTAAACGGCTGTGGTAAATAAATGAAATAGTGTTACAGTTCTATACAATAGTTCCTCCCCCAATCCCTGCACTCCCTCCAATAATCCTCAGGGACACAGCTGATGCCTAAACCAAGGATAGTACCAAAATGTAATTTTTCCCTATAAACATATACTTATGATAAAGTAAATTATAAATTTGGCTTAGTGAGAGATTAACAACAACGAATAGTAAAATAGAATTATAATAACATACTGTAATAAAAATTGTATGAATGTGGTGTCAGTGTCTCTCTAAGAGGGTTCAGATACCAGCAGAAATCAAAAGGGGGGCTACTTTTAATGTAGAAAAATATTAAACAAATGTGTACAGATTTGGTTTCACTGAAAACCAACATTAAAAATCAATGCATTCTCATCAAGTCAATAAGCACTCATTGAACATTTGTTTTAAGCTAAGCTTGGAGTGAAAATGCAGAGAGATAAAAGCAGAATTCCTGTTTTTAAAAGCTTCCAAGTTATATTCTCACACAAATAAACAATGAATGAGCATACAATTCAATTCAAACATTTAAGGAGCAGAAAGCTTAAAATACAAAATAGCAGATAAGCCCTATAGGGGCACAATCTTCATTAGCTACGGCTATGTGGCAGCCTGCAGCAACATAAAATGGCAATTTAACCCCTTGTAAGTCCTTCCCCTAGTGCTGCCATCCCTTCCCGCTGGAGCTCCTGCATCTCTGCACTATCCTCTCATCATCTGCACCCCCTGGTAGTTACTGGCCATTTCCCCTTTAGTCTGACCACATACACACACTCCCACCTATCTCTAAAATTCCTACCCCACTTGCTCCGCTGAAAGGTACTCATTCTTCAAGACACTTCCAGAAACCATTTGCTGATGCCTCCGTATCTTGCAGGATGGTCCAAGAGTCCCTCTGCAGAGCACTATCTTAGCACACACACTACTTTACCGTCTCTTTTACCTAAGCTGACTGACTTCTGGAGAGCAAAAACATGTTTGCTTCAAACCGTGGTGAAAATTCAAATGCTCACAAAATGTAAAAATAAACTATTATATTATAAAAAAAAATTCAAATGTTGAACCCTTCCTAATCTTTCCCGTAAGAACCAGTAAATCTGAAAAGTTAACTTATCAAATGGACTAACTATACTCAAGTCTTGCACCTGCAACAAGCTTTCTTGTTACAACCACTTTAATTAAAAGACTTTTTAAAAAGCAGTAGTTTAGATTTACAAAAATAAGTACGATTTTTTTTTTTTAAGTTCAAAAGTAAACATCTCTTCGGGTCCAAAAGACGACCCCTACCCCCACTCCACCCCCTCCAGGAGACGCTCTAAACCTGTCCTGGCAAAATTTCACATCCAATCTCAAGGGTAAAAGGAGCCATCAGCGCCCACTGACATTTCCCAACCACAGGGCTTGGTCACCGGCTCTGAGACACCAGCAGCTGCCTATGACCTACTCTCTAGGCGGCGGAGTCCTTCCTTTCCTCCCTACTAAACTTCCGCGACGGGCATCACCTCTGCTCTCCTCCAAGCCTATTCCAAAACAGGGATTTGTGCTCCTAACCCCAGGCCCTCAGCTTTGCCCTCAACTACGGGGCGAAAGTTCGGAGCAGTTCTGAAGTCCCCTCGCCACGCAAGACCGCGCCCTTACAGCTTCGGGGTGTTTCGGGATCACGAAGCGCCCGCGCCCCTGCCAAGGCCGGCTGCAATCCAGACCGGTCCCCGAGGGGCCTTGGGCATCCGACCGGCCACGACCACAGGTGTCCTCTCGGACTCCGCAGACTGGACAGTGCTGGCAGAGGGAAGCCTCCAGCAGGCGAGTCCGGCGGCCGGAGACTGCCAGGAAATGATAAGCGTCTGTCAGTCCGAGCTGGGCCGGGCCGCGGAGAACTTGGCGACCAGCACGTCCAACGGACAGGCCGCGCACTGGGAGGATTAAGGGACCTGGAGACTGCCTGGGGCAGCCAGGGCCGCGCCGCGGGCCCGGGTCGGGACATAGGGCAATCGAGCAAAACGGCTCCGGCCGGGCGGACGACACGGACGAACGACCAGCCGCCCCCGACCGAGACAGCGTCGCCGCCCCCGCTGCCTGCAGCCGAGAGCCGGTCGCCCTGGCCCCGCGTCTGTGTGCTCCGTACCTTGTCTGCGGCTCCACGGCCGTGGCGACCGCGGCTCCCCCAGAAATCACTTGCTTAGGGTCTGGGCTCCGCCAGTCCACAACCCGCCCTCGCGCCGGCCCTCCCTCTTTCACGCCCCGCCCCCGGCGCGGCGAGCGCACGTCACGCACGCACCGACGTCACTTCCGGGGCCCACGGTCCTAGCTGGGGGTTTACCGCCGCGGGATTCCCTCGCAGTCCCCGCGGGATTCGCCGCCTGGGCGGCGTGGCGCCGTAGCTGACGTGAAGACTAGCACCGACAAGGCGGAGGAATTGAGCAAAGAGGCGTCCTCTAGGCCATTCTTGGGGCGCTCAACTGTAGATTTCGGGAGTCCACTAGATGCTCGTGTTTCCCCGCCTTCTCCCTGTTTCCGGCACTTGGAGTACCCTGAGAGCAGCCGTGCGGGTTGGAGCCTCCGGCCGGCGGGCTGCTGCTTCGCGGGGACGGGGAGGCGAGGCCGCTGGTGTGCGGGGGAGGAAGCCTGGGGCCAGAAATCTATTATATCCCATCCTTTCACGGATCCTAGGGCTGTAGTAGCCGAGTTAACGGCCTGAAAGACGTAGGTTGACCCAGAAACTTTACACCTGAACGGAACTGAGACCCAAAAGTTAAATAAACTTGCCCGTGTCGCACAAATTAATAGTCGAGTTATAAATGGAACTCATTTCTTGTGATTCCCATTTCAGGAATGTTGGAAACAGGAGCTGCTTCTGTATTTCTGTATCCTGGTGCAAAAGTTCAGCCAGGTGAATTCTGGGGGGGTGGGGGGTGCGGAATTAGACTGTATGTGGGATGCTAAATCCCAGTTTTACTGGTGATGCCGCTGAAGCTGGACAGGTTGCCACATTTCGCAATCATTGTTCATTTTTACAAACGAGATCGGCTCATTCCTCACATTCTTTGTAAATATTGATGGGTTGTAGTATATATTACCTCAAGATGTGCCTCTTTAGGGATTATTTTGAGGGTAGCTCTAGAAACTAACTTAAGGTTACTCTCGTGAGAGAAATTTACGTTATAAGGGAAATCTTTTACTAGGGTCTCTCCTTTGGTACCTGGAAGTGAAGAATGACACTATAAATAATACGATTCTTACTGTTGGAGAAGACACCAAATTAAATCTACATAGCTAACCTTAAGCTTGTTTACCATGCGTTCTCATAACTGGGTTTCCCCTTCCCCCCAACACACACAAATACACTTTCTTTTTCAAAATTTGTTTTTGTTTATGCATATAAGAACTGGGCTGTAGGCCTAGGGGTTGAGAGGCTTCACCAGAGACAAAGTCGGGGAGCAGAACAGGCAGATTGACTGAAATACACTGCTGAGGGGAGCAGCAGGGGAGACAAAAAAGATCTGCAGGCCACGTGGGTCAGCTCCCACGTGATGTAACTCCCACCCCAAAGGCTTAGCTATAGCTTGTCAGCTCCAGAGATTTAACCCATCTATCACCAGGGAGACCTACACCTTTCTTTGCCTAAAGTTGGTATTTAAGTTGGCATTCTACACCTTTTCTCTGGGTTTCTTCCATGCATATAGGAGGTTTACATGTTGATACATTTTTTTTCCTAATTAATCTTTTAATCCAAGAACTCAGAATAGGAAGAAAAGTGTATCCACTCCCCTATAGGGACTAAGTATTTTGTTTACGATTTTTGTATCCGTGTTCATAATGCATGGAACTCTGTAGTTATCTTTTTTTTTTCCTTGTAGTAGCTTTGATTCCATATCAGAAAAATGACGGTGTTATAAAATGAACTAGAACAGCATTTCCTCTACTTTCAGTTTTTGGAAGAGTTTGAGCAGGCTTGGTACTAGTTCTTTATAGTGTTTCATAGAATTCAGCAGGGAAGACATCAGGTACACAACTTTCTTTGTTGGGACATTTTGATTACTTCTTCAATCTCCTTACTAGCTATAGTTCTATCCTGATGTTCTGTTTCTTGGTGATTGCTTCTTTGTATATTTTGTTTTATAAAGTTGTCCATTTCAGGCCCTCCCTGGTGGGCAACAGGTTAGGGCACAGCACTGCAAGCTAGCAGCAGCCACTTCAGTGTGAGTTCCATCCCCAGCTGGGGAGGTGATCCACATGGGAGCTGACCCACATTGCGCAGCAGACCTTTCCTGTTTCCTCTGCTGCTCCGCCCAGCAGTATATTTCAGTCCCTTTGCCTGGTTCTGTTCCCCACTCTGTCTCTGGTGAATCCTCTCACCTCCCTGTACCTCAGTTCTGTATGCATAAATAAATCTTTTTTAAAAAGTTGTCTATTTCATTTGGTTACTCAGTTTGTTGGTGTACATATGGTCTTAATACATCCTTATAATCCTTTTTCATTGCAGTAGACAGTAGTAATGCCCACTCATTTCTGATTTTATCCTCTTCATTGCTGATTTTAGCAATTTGTGTCCTCTTTTTTTAGTCAGGCTAAGTTAGTCAATTTTGTTGTTCCAAAATAGCAATTTTTTATTTTCTTAATTTTCATTACTCTTATTTTGCTAATTCTCTATCTCACTCCAATCTTTACGTCCTGTCTTCTCAATTTTGTTCAATTTATTCTTTTTCTTGTTCTTTTCAAGCATTTAATCAAGTTATCAATTTGAGGACTTTTTTTGGCCAGGAATTTCCCATTCTTTTACTTTCAGCACCTTGGTGTCATATTGTATCTAAAGTTTTTATAGACAGCACATACACAGAACTTCATAGCAGATATATTTTGCCAGTCTTTGACTTTTTTTTTTTTAAAGATTTATTCATGCATACAGAACTGGGATACAAGCCAGAGGTGCAGGGGCAGTGAGAGGATTCACCAGAGACAGAGTGGAGAGCAGAACAGACAGATCTACAAAGTACACTGCTGAGGGGAGCAGCGGGTGGGTCAGGGGAGGTCTGCTGCACCATGTGGTACTGAAGTGACTGTTGCTTGCTTGCAGTGCTCTGCTTTAACCTGCTGCACCACCAGGGAGGAACCAGTCTTTGGCTTTTAATTGTACAGTTTAATACATTTACATTTAAAGTAATGACTGATGAAGGACACAGATTTGCCCACTGCTGAGGCTCAGGACTTCACCTGGCCTAATATGCTAAGATTTAAAAAGCAAGTACTCTGGTAGGAATATTGGAGAGACTTCCTTAGGTGTGTAGTACTTAAATAGCTCCTGAGGATTAAGGAGTTGAAGGTTTTTCCCAATTTACTGCCGTTTTTAATGTTACCCAGTACACACTGGGTAGCAAAGAGCCTGCTCATGGAGCAGTGAGTGGAGGATGACTTGCAGCTGAGTATTGGCTTCCTGGCTAGACCTGGGTATGACAGGATGATCCAGGACAACCCAAACTAATCAGACTCCTGCAGCCTACAGTCTACCTGCAGAGGTGCTGTGAGCCTACCCACACAGGGAGGTATGCCCATGGCTGAGACTGTCCTTCAGTGACTCCTGGCTTCATAAGAATAAATGAATGGGAGGCTTTGTAGTAAATTTAGTTCATCATTGGCCAAGGTGGAACAAAGCATAATCAAGTGCACCACCCCTGCCCTTAGAAGGACATACTACTTACATGACTTTCGTGCCAAAAAGAGCTCTGAGTTTAAAATCTGGCTCAGTCACTTACTGGCTAGCATCCTTGGGGGAAATGACACCTCTGTGAACTTCAGTTTCCAACCTGTAAGGTATTATTACTGTGTGATTGTATGCATGGTAATCAGGTCAGGGAACACATTTGAAACAGATGATGTAATACTCTTTGTTTAAAAGTCAAAATGATCAGATTTACGGGCAGCAGTTAGAGAGTGGTATGGCTACCGTCATTTCAGAACTCACCTTTCTTGGATAATCCATGAAGTGACTCTAAGGGGCATCTTGATGATGACTCTCATAACCAGTAGAGTGTCATATTCTGCTTTCAGAGGAAGAACAACTATGTCCATTTTCCTCAAGGAAGGAAACACTGAGGCTCACATAAGCCTAGAGCCACTAACATCTCTCTTCGAAAAGTGGCAATAGGAAGAAAGAGATTTCTCTCAGAATTAACTGACAAGGCTGTGAGCCACAGACATGGCTGTACAACTGTGGTATCTTCTTCCTCTGGAGAATATGCAACAGAAAAGCACAGGGCTGCCTGCCTAAGAAGGGTAGGCACAGCTTGACTAAAGGGCCTGCAAGGCATCCTTTTAGGATCACATAGGGGCAGAAGTTCAGCTGCTAGATATTTAGGGTGGCATTCCCAAAATTACATTTTTAGCAAAATCAAGACATGTTTGGAAAGTGGGGGAGAAGGAAAAGGCAGAGGAAGGATGAGAGTTAAACAAACAAACAAAAGGCACAGTGCCAGGTTCTAATTCTTGACTTTAATGCCATGTAAGGGTACTGAGGCTCCATGCACCAAGCACTCAGACAGGTAATGAACAAACACAGGAAGTGTTACATTGTGTATACAAACCCAACATCATACAGAAGACAATCGACCCAAGTGACAGCCCACACTCCGGAGAAACTGTTGTTCCTACACCTACTCTTTGTCCCTCCCTCCTTTAAATCCCTGCCAACCTACCCTCCCCACTTGACATATATGTATGTGTGTGTGTGTGTGTGTATTTCTTTCCAGAATTCCCGAAAGTGCCTTCCCAACACTTTGACTTTTGATGAGTAAACCCTTTTAAGGACCAAGAGGTAGGCACCACCTTCATGGAAGAGTTCCAGCAAAGCAGTACCCAGGAAAGCTTGATCACTTTTTATTAGATTCAACTATGGACAGAAGGTATACAAAATTTTTGAAATTCTAACTGGGATCAGCCTGCTTAGTGGGAGTAGTTTTTGTTTTGTTTATCTTAATCACTTCAGGATCCAGCATGGACCAGAATCACACACTGAGCTCAGCTCACCACAGTTTGTGGCTTACAAACATCAATCTCCTAGTCCTCCAGCTAGCAAACCAGAACAGGAAGATTATCACCTGATCAGCCTGAGGCGCAAGGCTCAGATAACTCCCAGAAAATACCAAAGCCCCAGAAATAGAAACTTTCAGAACATAGTTGACTGTGTTCCATGTGACAAACACTGGACAATCTGGTAAATTACCCAGAGGTAGGATAAGGATAGTGACAATTTTTCTATTTCTTCCATTTAGAGTTTTAGCAAAATAATTCCTCCACCTGGAATGGTATGATGTGTTCCACTGTGGATTTTTTCAGTCTTTTCTGTTGTCATTTAGCCTCTCATTTTGTTTACTTAAATGTACTATGGGTAGCACTGCTGTACTGCACAGTCCTACCTCCTGAGATGTTCACCTACCAACCAGTGAGCCTCGCACCTGGGAGGGAAAAGTGCCCAAGGTCAAACTTACAGGAAGTTCCAAAGGAAGACACTGTGGTTTGACCCACTGTAACCAACAACCTGTTCACAACTGGATGAATCAAATGAGAGGCATTTATTGACAGTATGCACAAGAATTCTATGGAAAAATACTTCCTTTCAACAGGGGAGAAGCGATCATACTTTGGAAGCCTTCCTGCTCTGGGCCTGGTCATTCGGATTTGAAAAACAATCCAGCGAGGAGAAGCTGCTGCCTCAGAGGGACCCTTTAATTTGGAGTCCATTACCACCACCCACGGTATCTGAATGTACTTCTCTGCCAGGCTCCTCATCAGAGAATGGGCAAATTCTCAGAGAGTGGCCAAATTCTTTGACACCACTTAGAAAGAACCCCAAGCTGGCAGCCAGTGTCTCTGCTCTGCCTAGAGCCTTTTCTCCTCACACTGGCACAGAACCTACCACCATGATAAAAACAGGGGAAGAGACAAATAGGGGTGTTTCCAGAATAAGGCACAAGGACAGCGTCCTTATCCAGGATCCCTGTAGCCCCACACAAGTCTTTAGGGCATATTTTTTTTTTTTTTTAGCAAATCTGCATGTGTATAAGCAAGTTGCTCCCTGACTTACAAGTGTGGACTCTAAATAACCTAGTGCTATGAAGCTCTGTGCCAGGGATGGGAAAGGGAAGCCCTGGGCTTATTTCATCTGTTCTGTATTCACACTGACTTCCTCCTTAGAAGCCTGCCCCAGTAGCTGTCAAAGTGAACTCACATTAGGCAGTTATACCAATCAGAACAACTTAAAGAAACATTTTCCTGTGAGAACAAGGTAAAAGCCATGCTGCTGGGCTAAGCTGCAAGTAGGAACATTAGTTCCAGAAAAATGATAATCCATTTGTGGAGAATAGAGGAAACATGAATTTTAGAACCTGAATCAACTGGACTTGCCTTGTTGATTTCAGTGTGCACCTCCGTCCACTCATACAGAGACTGGATAGAAAGGTGCAAAATCAAACCATGGAATCACTGTTTCCACTCAGTGCTCTGGAGGTCACTTCCCATCAAGGCATTCAGTCAAGGTCCCTAGGCTTGGCTCTCCCTTTCTCAGATAGTTTCAGTCCTCTGTGCCCTACACCTCAGCAGTCTGGTCTTGAGAACAATGAGGCTGTCCTCACCAGTTTCTGTATATAAAAGATTTCCCCACAAGAACACCCCGGAACAGTTGAGTACAATCATGATGATAGGGAGGAGCCCTTATCCAGCACAGAGGTGCTACGTTCCAGTTACTGGGTCTACATAGTTCTTTCTCTAGGAGAGGCAGTGCCACAGCTGCCCAGCTGCCCAGGCTGCAGATGGAGCAAGAAGAAAATGTGGGCACAGACCCTTGTGAACCTCTCTCTCTCTCCCTGAAATACGGGAAGTAAAACAGAATGGAGGTTTGCTGCTGTTTCTCTATAGCTTGTGGGACAGCTGTGCCTCTCACCCAGACCTTTCTTTGCTTCTCCATTATAGAACATTCTCTTAGAAGAAGGTTAACAGGATGAAGCAAAGGGGCTTAAATAGAGGGAGGCTCCTGTTGAAGGAGGGTCACCACAATTTGGACTGTAACACATCAAACAGCCACCAAGAAAACATTCTGAGCCTCTGAAAAGGATGTCACATCTCAAAAATCTCGCCTCCTTGACTTAGGGAATTTTCAAACAGAGCCTCTAAAATTTGCACACCCGCCCTATGAGATAACCCCACAAGCAAGGACGGTTGGCAGAAGGTAGAAGCTAAGACCCCAAGACAGGGCTGTAAACACTGAGATTTTCTAAGGCCAACCTGGTACATAGCTTGGCAACCATGGTTACAGCTCCAAAATGTGGTAAAGGATATGTTCTGTGAGAAGGGGTCTTTCCACATCCTAAACAAACATGGGGCTATTCTTAGAGGAAGCAGGCGTGTACTGGGAGAGGAGATACAATTTCTGCTTCAGCCAGGGGCTGAGGGGTGACTCCTTGGGCAAATCCTCCATCATATTCTATGTTCTTACCTATACACTGAGCACAGGAAGAGATAACCTGAACATGGCCGAGGAAGTGACTATGCCTACGTTAGTTTGGTAATGTGGCTCTAAACAGGGCAGAAACTCTCTTGCCAGTCAAGAAAACAACAAAACCTCTCTGGACTTCCCAGTCAAGCCCTAGCTAGCCAGACGCCATGAGCCTCAGGCAGAGACTGCCACGCCTCCAGGAAAGATCAGGTGAATGCCGGCCCAAGGTCCCCACGGGTCACAAGCCCTGAGTCTGACCTGAGGTACAGCTGGGGAGACAGGAGCTGCACCTCCATCCCTCGGAGCTGTGCCTCAGGACCTGGTCCTCACCTCAGCAGGTTCTGGGGCAGTCAGCAGCCCTTCTAGGAATCCCACTCCCAGAGCAACGAAGGGGAATGGATGCCCCTCTCTGACGGGACTCTGTTCCCTCCCAGAGCTACTCACCACCATGTGATCTTGAACTCATAGATGGGGCGCTTGCAGTAGTAGTGATTGATAAGGTGCTTGTCACACACCCCGATGCACTGGTGGTCCACAGTGAGGCCCTGTGCTGAGAGGTCTGTGACCAAGCAGTGCAGCAGGTCATAAACATCAGCCACAGCCTCCCAGGGCCCAAAAGACACATCCACTTCACAGTGGTGCTCAAAGAACTGCCCGTCACTCTCACTCCGCTCGAAGCGCAGGGAGCTGAGGAGGGGACACTCATAGGGGGTGATGGGCATCTCTTCCTTGAAGACACAGACCTTGAGCTTGGCAAAACGGGCCTTCCGCTGTACTGCACGCAGCCGGGCAATCTCCACAATCCGGTCCAAGTGGTCTGTGGGGTGAACACAGCGTCCATCACTGGGGTTGGGGCTGGGGGGTGAGCCAGAGAGAGGGTACAAAGAGAAAGTCACAGTGACAGACCCCCAGGTCCAAAAGGGAAGAGACAGATTCTGAGAAGGAACTCGGTGAGCCTTGCAGAGCACAGACTTGAACAGCTGCGTCATGGTCGTTCACAGCAAAAGAAAACCAAGGCAATGAGGACTGTCCTTTTGATGTACAATTTGACTTGTCACAAGCATGGTAGGGACACCTGAACCTGAATCCTCACAGTGTGGCTGGGAGGTGAGGGCAGGAAGGGATGCAGAGTAAGAGAGATGAACCTTGGACCCACACTGGTCCTGAGAGAGATCTCGGAGCAGCCCCTTTCCCTCAGCCTGGCGGCCCTGCACAGCTGACCCCTTACCTTTGTAATAGGGCATGAGCCCCAGAAACGCCTGGCGCACTTTCTCCCCCTTCAGTGGCTGCATGTTCTCCAACTGTTCCAGAAGGGGTCCGATGGCATAGTACTGGGCCTCTTTGTGCACAGCCCGCACACGATCCCGGGGTGGCAGGTCCCCAGAGCGCAGGAAATTCAGCACATCTCTGATCAGGAGGAAAGAGGATTGGTGAAAAGGCAACACAGTGATCAGAGCGCACAACCTGAATCAGACGACCTGCTGTGTGACCCTGGGTAAGTAAACTTAACCATGCAGGGCTTGATTTTCTATACATAGAAGAAAAATTTTAAAAGAAACCATCCCAAAATGTTATGGGCACTTAAAATATACCTGACATTACTTTATTATATTCATTATTAATAGTATTATAATTATTATTAGGTATAATATCAGGTGCTATTATTATTAAGTTTATACAGGAATAAGTTTATACAGGAATACTAGCCCCTAGTTGAGATATAATATTCAGCAAATGTAAAAGTCTTAATTGTACAATTCAATTTTCTTTTTATATCTGACTACACCCATGTGGAACATTTCCATCTCCTTAAAGTTTCCTTGTGCGGCCCTCCCTGGTGGCGCAGCGGGTTAAAGCACAGCAC